AAAAATATCTTGTTCGGTGTAGTTTTTTATGCTGATTCCGAATATCATGTTTATTTTGCATGAAAATCAGTGTGTGATAGTAAAAAGCTCGAAATACGAGTGTAATTTCTCAACATTTTCCCATCGATTTCGAAAAACTTGTTTTTCTCGGCAAAGGAACAGAATTTGAAAAAAAACGTTCGATAACTTTTTTTGCCATCGGATGACGTTTCGAATGATGTATGAATGTTTGGAAAAGGTTTAGAAATGAAGGACTACATAGTTTTGCGGTATCAAGGTGTCACTTAGTCTTTAGATTATCCTAGTCGAACTTCCTGAACGAGACGACTGCGAGAAAATGAGCTGAAAATTATCTGAATAGACTCACTCTTTTATGCTGAATCTGAATAAAATAGTTCGAAAAAGTTTGGGTGCACGAAAATAGGTAAAATTTAAACTTTTCTTCATAATGGTCATTTTCTCGTTTTTTCGGACGTCCCTCGTATTTTTGAAGATTTCTCCCCCAAAAATCGATCAAATATAAATAAAAAGGTGATATTCGTGATCAACTTGACGAGCTCTATCAAACCATATATAAAAAAACGAATTTAATTTTTCACTCGATTTTTGCACTTGGTGCACCTTATGTTTTCATATAAATTTCTTTTTTTACTGTATAACCTGGTATATTGTTCTGATAACAAATTAGTTTTCTTTCTCTATTATCAGAAAACCATAACGAAAACTATGCTTATTTAATGTTTCTTAATCAAAGATAACTAAGATTTATCAAATGTGCTCATACCATAAGAAAAATAGTATCATCAAGGAATTAAATTCCTTTTTCTTTTTCTCTTCTCGTACTTGCTCATGACCTTCAACATTATGTATTTTTTTTATTTTCCGTTACTCTTTTGGTTTCTTAAAAGAATATATTTCAGCTCAATTTGCTAATGTAGTTGAAGTTGTTCAAACTAAGAAAAAAACTATTAATCTTAATTATCATTCAGAATGCTTGCAGAATCAATAGTAAAGACGATTAAAAAAATAAGCACAATACAACATAAAATTCTCTTCATCAATGTACTTTCGAAAACTCTATTATTATATGAACAAAGTTCATAAAATAGAATTTAAAGTTATCACCATTGATTGAAGTCAAGTACAATGTTAGATTGTTAAAAAAGTAAATGGTTGTAAATGTTTCATATTATCGGACATCTTTTTTTTTTTTGCTAAACTTATGCAGGAACATATACAATGAAGTGATTATGTAAAATTTAGACAGCTAAAAGGTCAAAATATTGAAGTCATCAAAAATAATTGAGTGTTATGCTATTGTATGTTCATTATATTTGAGTAATCAATAAACTATATATCATTTTACTTTTCTTTTAAGCCAATCAAAAAATTGTTAGTAGTTATAAATTGACGATTAATCACAACTTGAGTTTTGAATCAAATAGAACTTCGAAAATATTGATTTATTTTTATTTATTCAAAAAAGATAAAAGAGAATGTTATTGACTAAAAACAGTCAAAACGATTACTATACAGCACTTAACTATGATGAACCGAGGGAACTTTTTTTTTTTTTTTGATAACAAAAAAGATTTGCATTGTTATTATCATCAATTCATCGTATTTTCATGCCCATAAACAAAGAGTAAAAAAATAATGATACATTCATCTTCAATTCTTTTTTTGATGATATGTTTCTATACATCTATAGCTTTGATAAATGTGAAAATGTGCGTAAATAAACAAATCAATTTTCATCTATTAATCCACGTTAGAAGGTCAATGGCAATCATACTCTATCTTATAAAGAACGTATCAAAATTAGAATATATTATTTCAAGTAGCTAAAAACGAGAAAAAAGTTTTATCTGTTTGTTTTGTTTTTTTTAATCTCAAATAGTGTAAGTTTGGTGAATGTGTGAGAATGTCAATATGAAAAAAATGAGTTGTTACATTGAGTTGATGTTGTATATAAGCGAGATAGTCAACTAGCTGTGAAATGAAAGATGAAGTACAACACGTGCTGGAGAAGAAAGAGAAAGATAAAAGTTCTTTTATTTGTGCACACATTTACATCGTCGATAGAAGATTAGACCAACATCATATACTAACTGGTAGACGGTTGAAACAGCAATGTAAGATCAAAGTTTATTATTATTGTTCTGTTTTTTTTTTTGAGTCAAATTTATTTTTTCTGTAAAATGAAAATGAAAATGAATGAAATTAGTATTGAACAGGTGTTTGTAACATTGAACGTACGCTCTTCTTCTTCTTCTTTTCTTAATAAATGAATAGAATGAAAAATGATTTTTAATTTGTTTTTTTTCTTATCATCGAAATTGAAGATCGGTCAAATAAAAAAATGAAGAGAATTGCTTTCGGAATATTCGTTTATTCTTTTTTGTTTGCTCTATGTCATCATGTATATATATATATATATATGCGTTTCAAGTTAGTTTTATCGTTGTTTAATAGAAGAGAGACTACCTTATCTCTATCTCTCTCAATGTTGGCAAACGATGAAAAAAAAAACTAAAAGAGAAAGAATATAAGAGCACCTTTCCTTTTGTTTTACTGCCTTCTTCTGATTAATAATCCTTCTTTCTTTTTCTCAACACAGAATCGAAAAAAGGCAAGAGCATATGGCTTATATTTTTGTAAAATTCAACATGATTTAGATGTTTTAGTTAATCAATGGATCTTGAATCTTCGTCATCAAATATTGATGAACAATCAACTCAAAACAATAATTTAAATAAAACAAACGAAGAATCCTTAAGTACTCATCATTCACCATCAAATATAATAGGTACACATCCAAATGAAATAATAACAAGTATAAATCCTGATAATGGTTATCCTGTTCGACAAGAAAATGGTCAACGTAAAACTGGTCCACCACCTGATTGGCCAACAACACGTCAACCACCAAGTCGTGGTTGTGAAGTATTTGTTGGCAAATTACCTCGTGATTGTTTTGAATCTGAATTATTTCCATTATTTGAACGTTGTGGACAAATATATGAAATGCGTTTAATGATGGATTTTTCAGGTTTTAATCGTGGTTATGCATTTATAACATATACAAATCGTGATGATGCTAAACGTTGTGTTAAAGAACTAAATAATTATGAAATACGTTCAAATCATTTAATTGGTGTATGTCAATCCGTTGATAATTGTCGTTTATTTGTAGGTGGTATACCTAAAACAAAAAAACGTGAAGAAATACTTGAAGAAATGTGTAAAGTAACTGAAGGTGTTGTTGATGTTATTGTTTATCCAAGTGCAAATGATAAAACTAAAAATCGTGGTTTTGCTTTTGTTGAATATGAAAGTCATCGATCAGCAGCTATGGCAAGAAGAAAATTATTACCAGGTAATATTCAATTATGGGGACAACAAATAGCTGTTGATTGGGCTGAACCAGAAAATCAAGTTGATGAAGATATTATGGCAAATGTAAAATTCTTAATTTTTTTTTATTTTTAATATGTTTATTTGGTATTTTAGGTTCGAGTTCTTTACGTACGAAATTTAATGATGAGTACAACAGAAGAACAAATAAAAGAAGTTTTTGAACGATTTAAACCAAATTCAATTGAACGTGTAAAAAAATTAAAAGACTATGCATTTGTTCACTTTAAACAACGTGATGATGCTTTACATGCTATGAATCTTATGAATGGTAATATAGTTTTATTTTCAATTGTTTGTTTTTTCTTCAAGTTAGTTTTTTTTTTATTTTAGGTTGTGAATTGGATGGATCAATTGTTGAAGTTACATTAGCTAAACCAGTTGATAAAAATCAATATTTTAGATTCACACGTGGTGTCAGTCCATCAACATTAACTACAAATTTACCTGTAAATTTTTATTATGGTATTTTGAAATAATTCTGTTTCTTTTTTTTTGAAATTGTAGTTTGCAATACCAGCTGGTACTCTTGGTCCAGCTACTGCATTTGATTTAACAGCTATACCATATTTAACTATTCCTACAACAAATACAGCACCAATACCAATGACTAATGGTACAACAGTGATTCCTGTAGCTGTAAATCCTCTTCAACAAAAGTAAAATATTAAATTAAATTGATAGAATCAAAAACAAGTTCTATTTTATTCTTACGTCTTTATTTCATGTTAGATAATTTTTGATACACGCATAGAAACTATCTATTTGATGTAATAAAGTATAGAATCGAGATGGTTCTGGAATATTATTTCGAGTCTTCAATAAACTGCAATAGCCGAAAGAGAATAGCTTTTCTGTTTTTTTTTTCAATCTTTTTGAAGATGTAAATATTTGAACGAAATATGCTTTTATATCAGAGAGAATTTTGTATATTGAATATTTCATGATAGGAAATATTACAGGAATTACAAGTTTCCCAATGATTTAGAAGTTTGTTCTTGCAAAGGTTGAAGTCGAAGATTGTGACCTAAATGAGGCTACAGTTTTTTGATGAAAAACACAGTAGAACTTCGATATCTCGAGAACGAAGATGCAGAAAACTAAAAACATTCTAGAATTTTCCATTTTCCATTAGTACTAATGAATTAAGTATTGCGTCTCAGTCGAAAAGTGATTTGGCACTTGGAAAGAATTCCTCATATGTTTTATGAATTGGAAAACAGTGTTTTTTTTTGTCAAAAACATAATAATACATCTGCTTCTTTTATCTTTTGTTTGTCTACACAGGCTGGTTAGTTTGAGGTGGGTAATATTGATGTATACTACTACAGATATAATCTATTTGCAGATTAGTTTTTGAAGATCTCTTGAAAAAAAATACACAAGTAGCATTTCGAAAATAGTCACATTTGCAGACATTTAACTATACATCTTCCCTTCGAAATGAATCATGTTTTAGAAAACAATCTATGATAAGTAGGTCTACAATTTTATACAGATAGATAACGAAATGACTGCGAGAAGTCGTAAAAAAAAATCATATTAACAATAAATTCAAATTTTATATCAATCAAGATGAATGGTTCATTTTTTTATCCATTCTATATCTCTACTACAAATCGGAGCTTACACTAGGATCAAGGGAAAAAAGTGAGTGGGTTCAAAACAAACTTGGTTTCACATATCTCTAATCTCTACAGTGAGATAATCTTGCCTAAGCGTAAATATACCAGTGTTATAATTAACACCAATTTAAGCTATATCTATAATTGATTCAATACTAACTCGACGGAATTAATGTCAGGAGTCAAAAAGATTCAATTGTTGTTTTTACCGAGTTTACTCTCTTATAAATTCCTCTCATTAAAAATTAAGTGAAATAAGATAAAATCTACGATTATGAATGATTAATCTTAAATTTTTTACCTGTAAATGAGTCCTTCATCATTTGAAGTAGAATATATTTATTTTTATGAGTGAAATAAAATTATCTCATAGAAGTGTTCGTCGATGTGTAAATGCTACCGGTCGTCTATCTACAAATGGAAATTCAAGTCCACCATTATTAAATCGAACAACTCCAACAGGTGTTCTTTCATCATCATCTCGTCCAACTCAACCATCACCAAATATAGTTCATCATCGTGGTGCTTATTATACAATTCTTCGTCCAACATCACGTCGAACTGATGTAGGTTTTGTTTTTGATATAATAAACAAAAGTCGACATAATGCGTGTCGTTTTTCTTTTTTACTTTGTGTGATTTGAATGCTCCGCATGGCTTAACTGATAATTTTTTTGTAATTTTCATCCTAGGAAAAGTGTCTCGAAGATCTCTACAAAGAGACTTACGACGCGCTGTACAGCTCAGCTGCTAATACCACCGCTCCATCGATAATGATGATCGATCCGAATCAGCCTCAGTTTATTTTATCGGACCAACAAACCCACCAGCAGCAGTCAGAAGAGGTAATTTTCTTACCAGGGTTTTGTTTTCTTCAATCGATGAATACATAAAATTATTTTCAGTATTTAACAGCTGCTTGAGGAGTAAGAAATGATTTACTAAACTAAATCTTCTACTTTTCTATTGTCAGATTATACAAAAAATTCCCTTTTATTTTGTTTTTATTTTTTTGATAATTTTTATGCATGTTAATCTTATATATTTTTGCTCAAAGTTGAGTTCAGCTGCACATTTCCTATTCTACAAATAATTTATTTTCTTTGAAATTCTATAAAAATATTGTTTGTCTGTATTTTTTGATAAAAATAGATTTCATTTACTCCAACAGCATTTGGTTTTCCCCCTGGAACTCCGTTGTTTCAACCAGCTGCAATATTTCCTCATCCACTTCTTGCGGGACATCCAGCTAATGCTCAACCATTTCCTCAACAATCATTTGTTTTTGCAACGACAGGCAATAATGGACAAACTCAACAATTTTTTCATGCTCATCCTCAACCTAATTTTGCTTTTCCATTTATATTAACTCCACCATTAGCAACACCACAAACTCCAACATCAACTAATCCTGAAGCATCAGTTTATAATTATACAACATCACCGTCAACAGTTACAACTACAGATAGTAGTACTTATTCGGCTTAATAAAAATAACTTTATATTTGCATTTTATACGTTTTCACTTTTTTTTTTCTTTTTTGGTATTTGATGAGAATGTGAACCTTCTCTTTAAATATTGTTTTCTTTTTTTATTCAGCATATGTTGATCATGGTAAGTGTGTGAGCCGTGTTTTCTTTTTTTTCATTCTCTTTTTTTACATGTGTGCAATCATTAATAGGAAAAATGTGTTCAACATAACTTGTTTTTTTTTGTTTCAAAAGAAATGTACAGGTTGGAAATAATATTTTTCCAGATTGGCACGAGTTCAAATACAAATAATATCAACATTGAATGTTATACTAAATGAAAGCTTGTCAAAACTAGAAGTTAAATAGTATAATAAGTGATTCAGATTAATCGTGAGCTAGAGAATTACGGAACGTTACGAAATTTCAGACATATTACTGAATACTATGAATTAGGGAGTTGCTGGCTCTTCTACATTCAGGCCCAAGGTTTAATTCATTGTCAGATTCAAGTCTAGCTCATAAAAACCTGAACTCGCAATTCCCTATAAGCAAGTGTCGACTAGCATTAAAATTTTTTTGTGTCCGATTTTTAAAATCGATATCATTAATGGTTTTGAGAAGTCCACAGCCAAGTGCTCCAACTTTAACACAAACAGCTCAAACTTCCTCCTGCGCTTCATCTGAAATGACCGATTCATGTTTTGAAGATACATAAAACTGATTAAGACTTGTTTGAGCGTTAGAAACTGTCAGTTGTTTTTTTATTTTGACAATAGCGACTTCTCTTAGATAGTGAATTTATCAGAAAAAGGCTTTTAACTAAGGCTAAAACCTTACTCCTTCAATGGTTTATGTGCACAGTCGGTAACAGATATGAGTGAAAAAAAGAATTCGAATATAGGTCTGTCGGGTCAGGATCCACATTACTGTAAATAGGTCACCACCTATTATGAGTAGTCAACCACAAAAACAAATAAGTCATTGGAAATTTTTCGCCTATCAAACTTTATAGAGCCCTGTTTATGGATAATTGTGACATAAGGACCTTTTTAATATGATAAATAAATGATGATGCTGCGGTCAAAATACTAGAAAAAATTATATGCCTATCAGATAGGCCTGTTTCAGATTTTCCAGTTTGTTAACCCTAGCATTGTCATTTATCTATCAAACTAAATAAAATCTTTATGTCTACATGACCGACAATAATAACTCTGTACAACAATTATTAGGCAAAACAATTCTTAGACTTATTTTGTTTTTACTGGTTTTTCTACTCTATAATTGTTAATGACATGTGTGAATTTTTGAAATTTTTCATAATGTTCTCACTAATAATTAATTAATAAATTGCTTATTATAATATTGAAATTCTGTTTTTGACGAGTGTTCATTTTATATAAAATTCAATATTGATCTTATTTGAATTTGGAGTCACCGCAACCTAGAAAAATATTATTATCAATCTTGTAAAAAATATTTAGATCATTGAAGATAATTTTTTCTATAAGATTCGTCATAATGTATTATCAATGATAAAATATGTTCGATTAATTTCAATAAAAAAAACAGAATAATAACATGACAGCAATTACGAAATCTTTCGACTAATCATTAATCAATGTTAGTTAATATTAAATGCGAAAAACCTTTAAAGTTCATCTAAAATATTATCAATACAGCTGTCATACCGTGACTAATATTTATATCATAAATATCAGTTTTTTTTCGATGACATTTACAATTAATGGAAATCATACTAGGAAAATATTTCTCTTTCAAAATGATTTCTCATTCGTTAAGCAACACTAATGGCCTGTTGCGTTAAAGTCTTTGCAAATAATATTTGCTCATTTTTCGAATACATAAAGACAACTGGTTAGTGAGAATCAGAATTTTTCTCACCTTCTCCATACATTTTCTTTCTGAGTCAAGATCAAATAATTATCAGTAAATTTTGTAAACAAAAAAAAAAAAAAGTTGATAACTGTATTTCTACCATGCAAAATGACAGTTTTGTCGCAGTCTTTATTTTATATAGCTTGAGTCTTGGAATAAAGTCAACTTAAGATTATTGTAGAGCACTAAATTTTGTATTAAATAAGACACTAGAATAAGTAAAATCTTATCAATGGATTTTCATTAAAGAGTTAGTTTCTATGGAAATCGCTCTTTCAAAGACTCTCGCGGAGACAAAAAATATTGCCTTTTTCTAATTCATTTTCGCATCACTTAATGCGTTGTTTTAAAAAAAAAACAAAATATACCATAAGATGTAGCGTGAAAAGCTCTACAATCTACAAAGTAAACCTTATTTTAATTTTGTACTTTCTGTTTTCAAAGAAGGTAAAATTCTGTGCGACCAATTTTCGACGCTACGAAAAAAAGCATTTTTTCTTATCTCATCTTTTTATCACCTCCTAATGCGCTTTTGTAAAAAAAAACAAAATATACTACAAGATGCAGCATAAAAAGCTCTACAATCTATAAAGTAAACCTTATTTTAATTGTGTACTTTTCGTTTTCAAAAAACGCAAAATTTCGTGCGACTAATTTTCGGCGCTGCGAGAGGATCATTTTTCTACATCAATGAGAAATTCCTTTCTTCTTTTTTAGATAAACTGTTCTACGTAAATTGTAGTGCTTTGCACGCTGCATCTTGTGGTATATTTTGTTTTTTTAAAACAGCGCATTAAGTAATACGAAAATGAAATAGAAAAAGGCAATATTTTTTTTTGTCCGCGCGACACTACTTTTTAGAAATACAAAAGTTTTCAAGGATCTATTATGCAAAATAAAACAGAAAACTAAATAACATGCTTTGTATAACAAAATTTTTTCTATAAAACTGACCTATTAAAAACGATTTTATATTTTGAATTTGATAGCTTTCAATTTAAATAGAAAATTTGTCAAAATAGTATTCTGTAGAATCACTGTTTGAGATCTTTTGAAACAATTTGATGATAATTATTCAATCTTGCCTCAGAACGAAAATCTAAAATAAATGTAACCACACTCGTAGATAGATGTGATAATTTTTGAAGACTTTTCAAAAACTCTTGAAAACTGCTTTTAAAACTTTTTTTCTCGAACATGAACTTTATCATTTTTGATAATCTTGCTATAGTAAAAATTTGAGTCTGACTCATCATACTCTTGCGGAGAGCCAGATATAGTCTAAAAAAAGGAATCGTCCTTAGGTTAACTGAGTTTGAATAAATATTTTATATGGAGACTTTCATGCCATAGGTCAAATGGTTTAGCTTACTAGTCCAATTAATTGTTTTATATCTCTTTATAAGAAAAATTCAAAAATCAAATGAAGACTCTTACTATAATACTTTACTTATAATTATAACAAGCGCTATTTTATTCTTTGATAAACATAATATCTAGTAAGCTTAATAAGAGAGTTAAAATACTTATAATAAAGAAAGACATTATTGATCTGATATATGAGGCGGAAAGATTTATAAATGTCACTACAGATTTATCTTATTTAGCTATTTGAAGACGAAAAAAAAATAACGATAATGGAGAAGCAAACTGACATAGTATATATTGTATACCGGATCCACTAGGGAAATGTCATCTGAAAAAAAATAGAAGCATGATTCAAGCTAATTTTATTATTGTTATTATAGTAGATCAAATCCATCGACTTATTTTTTTACCAAACAAAATAAATTTGTTAACAATAGAGCAAAAAAAAAACTCCATTTATTTTATTTTTCTTATAATGATAAATGCATAAGGCAACGAGCCCTCGCCATTAATGTCGTATAATCACAATCACAATAATAACATCTATTGCCATTCGCGAGTTCTAGTAATACCAAGGCTTTCTTCTTGCTTATCGTTCTTTTCTATTCTTATTTTGCTATTTTGTACATGTAGTTTGATATCGCTGTGCTTTCTTACATGCGTATGAAAGCGAAAGAATAAGAAGATATTTTTCTCGTCTTTCTGTACAGTCAATAAGAAAGAATTGCCGTTGCTTTTTGGGGTCCGAATGCTTCTTGTTTTTTTTTTGGCTCTTTTCCTAAGCAATGAGAAAACGAGATAGGATATTCTAAGTAAAGACACACATAAACACGACAACAACTGATTGAATTCTTGTTGTTAGTTTTAAGTAAGACATGAGTGTATCATCAGGTCTTGGCGCTTTCAATAAAGATAAAGTTGCCAATAAATTTGGTATACAATTAAAACCAAAAGATGCATCACACAAAACACCAAATCCATTACCAACGAAAAATGTGACAACATCACAACTATCGAACGTGACAAAAAATAAAACAATTAGTGATTTTCGTACAGACAATAATGCTAATGGATTTTTAACAAATACAAATCGTAATACCACATCAAATACATTAGAAACTACAAAAAAATCTAATGAACAAACTACAACAAAAAAGCCGACTGAACAAACTACGACAAAAAAACCAGCTGAACAAACTGTCATAAAAAAATCTGCTACGGAACCTGTGAATACATCTGCAAAAAAGGAACAACCTCATTCTTCAAACACAAATGTTAATCATTCCACGAAAAAGTCAAAAGAATCTGTATCAACAAAATCTTCTGAAGTATCGAACAAATCCACTGTATCATCAACGGAAAAAGTGGTTTCACCAACATCACCTGTTAAACAACCACCTGTACCCACAACGAAACCTAAAACTGAAGCTCAAAGCGAACATAAAAAAGATCAACCATTATACAAACGACAATCGTCAAAATCATTGGAGAATACAACCCCAACAATAAATAAAAATACACCAACAACAACAACAACAGCAAATGCATCAACAACTTCATTAAAAAGGTAAAAAAATAAAATATTTTTTAAAAAATTTTATTAATAGCAAATTCTTCTTAAAAGTATGAAAGCGATTTATTTTTTTTTTTTCTTTCTTAAATATTTTTAATGGATTGAATGAATTGTAACCTTCAATTCTAAAATGCATAAATTAATACATACATGCAAAAAATATCAATAGAAAAATTATGTTCGTTATTTAAGTATAAAAGAGAACGAAAAAAGTCATCATACACTCATGATTACTAATCAGCATTAAGCATACATTTCATTGATATGATTTATTTTTACACATTCCTGAAAAATTTATCTATAAGATATGTCTCTTTGCCTGTCGTCAACGTACATATAATACCCATATTCTCCTTCTGGTTCTTTTTCTTTGCATACGTGTAATCGGATGCTTTCCAACATATTGTTTTTCTCTGATTTTTTTTTCTCTATTATAATCAACTTGAAAAAAAAAAAGAAAAAAAAGACAATTATAACACGTCTCGACATGAAAAAGCAATGAGCTTCGTTCAATCGCTCGTCATAACTTAACATAAAATCCTTGACCTTGGCGTATAATTTTTACATAATAATACGACCTTTACAGGCGGACACTTGCCAACGCACTTGTATTTAATGACTCACATTAGAGAAAATCAATGTTGCAATGTACAAAAAAAAAACTTGCACCAAGAGAAGAAAAACGAAGGACATAGATAGACGTGCTAAAAAGCTTTTACATTATATAAATGAAAATCACCTGTTGTCATACATAAATTATCTTGAATATTTTAAATAAGTAGTTTTTTTTTTATTATTAAATAAAAGAATTAATTATTCTTTATCTACAATATTGAATTAAGAAAGAAATGTCGTATTTCATAATACATATTTTGGTTTATTTATGTTCTATTTTTGTACAGAATTATTATCATTATTATCATTATCGAATTTTCTTTTTTTTTTTTTTTCCCTTTCTTTTTTTTCATCAATACCTACACATACGACTGATTTCTCCTTCAAATAAAACGGCGACTATACCTTTGCACAGTGTGTGTAGGTGTCAGGTTGAAGTTGAAACACATACATATACATGTGCATTATGATACGTATTTTTTTTCTTTTTTTGATATTTTATTATTATTATTGTCGTCGTCGTCGTCATAACTGATGAAATAGATCAACGTGGTGAGTTATTCGTTGTAGTTATAAAAATTTTGTTGTTCTATAGTGAACATAAATAAAATAAAACAGCAAAAAAAAGGGAAGAGAGAAAGCAAAAATAAATGGCATCATCAACTTTCACTCAACGATGGACATCCGTCAACGATTTGACGACAAGTAACAACAATAAAAAACAGTTAACTACATTTTATCTACAAGCATCATCATCATCATCATCCGCCTCCAATACATTTCCATTTACCTCCCGACCTTCGCAATCATTGCTTTCACTTGTCGAACCATCATCATCACCTTCTTCTTCTTCTCCTCCTCCTCTTCGTCCTCGTTCTCATCCGCGTTCTCGTCCCACTGATCCATCTGAACAAACAAAGCCAGTTCCATCTCGTGTTGCTGATATTATTAATCGATTCGAATCTCATAGTCTGTCATCAATGAATAATAACCCAAATAAAGTATCTCCTTCAACTCGTAGTATTTTTACTCAACTGTCCAAAGGAAATTTTCTTCAAAATCCACCAGTTATTGTTCGTGAAACTTCTTCAATTTACATTCCAGTAAATTCCAAGCAGAATAATAAACCACAACCGATTATTATCTGTGAAAAAATATGTCATCCTGAGAGATTATATAAATCTAAATCAACATCTCCATCCGTTGATTCCGAAAGTTCTTTAGAAAAACCATGTCCTCAAAATCAAATAATACCCCAACAAAATGTTGAAAGTGATACTGATTCAGCTATACATACAACGCCTCCTGTGATAAAAAGTGATTTAATTCATTCCACTGCAATATCACGTTCCAGTACATCAGATTCAAATTGTTCGTCTTTGTCTTTGTCTGATTCTTCACAAAATCTACATTTTACTCTTCCTCCACTACCTTCAACACAAAAACCACTTGATATTAGTTTTAATTCAACATGTTTTGAAAGAACCAATTCTGCTTTCCCATCATCTGTAACAACATTTAGTCGTACAATACCTTCAACAACTTCTATAACTAATGAACATATTGAACCATCACATTCACTTACTACACGGTTTTGTTCATCTGAAGCTAACATAGCTGGTCAATATCGTCAATTATCATCTTATGATGCTATTCAATCAGATACAAATTTAGCGCAAAATGTAACAAAAAAAAGATTTATTGATACAAATCTACCATTAAAATACAAACGAGATTCATTTCTTCGACTTTATGGGTAACACATACATATATGCTATTAACACCGCTCTATGAAAACAATAATTTTAATATTCTCTTGTTTCAGTCAAATATTAGATCGCTCGAATTATTTAGAAAAGATTTAATTAATATAACTAATAACAAATATGTTTATTTATTTAGACCTGATGTATTATTAGAACATGGTCATCATAAATCTCATGATGTTGTACTTGAAGACGGTATTTGAAAATATTATCTTAAAAATGTGTTTGTATTTATGCATTTATAGATATTGATCCACCATTTGAACCACGTGTTGTTGTAGTACAAAAGAATAAACCCGTAACAGATCAATATGAACTTCTTGAATTTCTTGGAAGGTAATTTAAGATGTTTGTTTTTTCTCAATTTATTCTCAAAAAGTAATAATAATAAAAAAAAAACTTAGAGGAAAATTTGGTGAAGTAAAAAAATGTCGTGAACGAGCAACAAAACATTTATTAGCTGCAAAATTTATACAAATAAATAAAGAACAAGATCGTATTGAAGCATTTAATGAAATTGAAATCATGAAAGCATTACAACATCCAAGACTTTTACAACTTTATGATGCTTTTGAAACAAAATCAGATATTTGTCTTATTATGGAATTGTAAATATTTCGTTTATATTATAAAACAATGAGAAAATTGTTTTTTTCTTGTTTTATTTCTATATTTAAGAATTACTGGTGGAGAACTATTTGAACGTGTTATTGATGAAGATTTTATATTGACAGAACGTCTTTGTGAATTATACATGATGCAAATATGTGAAGGTGTGAATTTTATGCATTCATGTAATATTATTCATCTTGATATGAAGGTCTTAAAACTTTTTTTTTTAATGTTCTCATTCAGAGATTATTTTGGTTTTTTATTTTTAATTTCAGCCCGAAAATGTTTTATGTTTAAATCGAAATGGACATCGAATAAAAATTATTGATTTTGGTCTTGCTCGAAAATTTGTTCCAGATCGACAACTTAAAGTATTATTTGGTACACCGGAATTTGTTGCACCAGAAGTTATTAATTTTGATCGAATTGGATTTGGTACGGATATGTGGTAAGTTGTAAAACTAAAATAATTTTTCAATTATTTATTTTATGTTCTTTTTTTTGTCAGGTCTGTTGGAGTAATTTGTTATGTTTTGTAAGTAATTGAATGAAAAAAAAAATTAATGCAAAAAAAAAACGATGAGTTTATATTTGTTAAGATTATCCGGTTTGAGTCCATTTATGGGTGATAATGATAATGATACATATGCAAATATCAATCGAGCTAATTATGATTTTGATGATGAAGCATTTACTGATATATCAGATGAAGCAAAAGATTTCATTTCAAAATTACTTCTCAAAAATAAAGAGTATTAGTTTGATCAAAGAATATTTTCAATATATATTGATGTTTTTGTCTTTTTTTTTATTGTATAGTAAACGTCTTCAAGCTAAAGAATGTCTTGCTCATCCATGGTTAACTCGTCGACCAAAATTAGTTTCAACTCCTAATGATGAAGAAGCAGCTGAAAAGAAATTATCAACAAAAAAATTACGTAGATTTGTCATACGAAGACGTTGGCAGGTTGGTAGTTTTTTTTTTAAATGTAAAATTCGATTTATGTTCAATATTTTCTTTTTGTATTTTTAGAAAGCAGTCAATGCTTTATTAGCATTGAAACGTATGGGAATGACGTTGTGAAGATACCACGACTCACCTTACATTTTTCTTTTCTATCCTCTTATTCGCACAATATTTTATATTCGAGTCGCGCGTCTTTCACTAACAAACATTGCTTTTCCTCTTTGTTTTTTATTTTTATTTTTAATATTTTATTTTATTTTTTTCGCTGTTGTTACCTGTGGTTCAATTCAATTTGTTCGCCCAGAGAATAGTGCGTGTGTGTGTGTTTGTGCGTGTGTTTATGAAAGCGTGAGAGTTCTCTGTTTGTGTGTACATTATATTATTATTATTATTACTTCTGCTATAAGAAAAAAAATTGAACGATATGAAAAGAAAAATAAAGATGAGACAATTTTTACAAATAGTTCAAGATTTTTTTTTTTTATAAATTCGATTATTCGTTAAAGAAATTAACGAACAGACACATTTGGTTCAGCATATTTTGGTCGTACAGTATTTCGTATAGGTAATATGTGTTCCAATCCATGTGCTATACGTAAAAGAATTGATTCTGACCATGCAGTTCCAGCAAACATTAAACAATAAGGTTCATCATTTGATTTTTTAAAACCTAATGGAACAACAATTAATGGATAACCAACAAATGAAGCCATAGAAGTGATATCATGTATAGCATCAGCTACAACTAGTGCATCTAATTTGTATTGAATCAATCTATAATCAATAAAATTTGTAAATAAAGCTTTTAATATAAAACATGATGAATCTGTTTTAAAAATTAGACAAGAAAGTTTGAGTAATATTTTTGATCTTTACTAATTTCATATCAAATCAAAAATTACTTTAGATTTGTTTACTAAGAGCTAGAGTATCTAACCAGTAGCCAATTGAAGGAGAATAGATATGTTTTTGGTTTCAATCAAAATTTTGAATTTTACAAAATAACTTACGCTGCATCAATTCCATATTGGCCACCAAATTGACGAGTTTTATTATATAAATTTGCATAATCATTAGCTGTAAAGTTTTTTTGAGTTTCACTCGAGATAAATCTATTTTGATTAGGAGAATATTTATCATGAAATTGTTGGTCAGCATGTTCTATATTGAAGTCAATTAGATCTCTTAATGATTTCATTGTAGTATTTTTAAGTTCAGATAAATAATTTGATATATCATGACGAAAATTATAACGAAAAAGTGATTCTAAATTGTTGATTATATTTTTATCTCCAACACCATTTACATTAACTGGATCAATAATAATTGCACCATGAAGCCGCATTAATTCAATAGCTTTTTGTACTTTATCTTCTCTCTCATTTGATATATGAATACCTATGAAACAATATTAAACTTTGATTTAATAAAGAATATTTACCTTGACGTACAACACCTAATCGAAGATGTCGAAATCCTTCAACACCAAGTAAAAATTGTGTATAATTTTGATGACGAATGATGCCTGTTTGTTGTGTTGCATAATCTCGACTATCAACACCTTGTATAACTTCTATAAAATAAACAAAAAACAAAGACCAAAAATATTTTTTATTATTCATTAAATTTATTTGTTTAATATACCAAGTAGAAGAGCAACATCTTCAACAGTTTTACCTATAGGTCCAACTGTATCATGATCATGTGAGATTGGAATAACACCTGAACGTGATGTTAAACCAACCGTTGGTTTTAGACCGACAACATTTGCAAGGCATGAAGGTATAACAATACTACCAGCAGTTTCTGTTCCAATGGTAGCTGCGGATAAACCTGCACTTGTCGAAATAGCTGAACCACTGCTACTTCCTGATGGATCTCCATTAGCAACATAAGCTGAACTAAAACATATTTAAAAAAAAAATCTGGAACGAAAAAGAAAAACATGCTCGTTTCAATTCACCTGCTTAAACCACCACGTGCAGACCATCCTTCTCTTGTACTACTATCTGATTTATAATTACTCCATTCTGTTAATGATGTTTTACCTAAAATAATTGCACCTGCTTGTCTTAATCGTTCAACAATAAATGCATCACGAGGTACACGAGATCCAACAAGTGCTAAACTGCCAGCTGTTGTTTCCATTTTATCATTTGTTGCAATATTATCTTTAATTAAAATAGGAATTCCATGAAGCAATGATCTTGAACCAAATATATGTCGTTCTTGATCAAGCATCTCGGCAATCATTAGAGCATCAGGATTTGTTTCAATAACAGCATGAAGTGGATAAAAACCTTTTCGATTAACAGCATCAATACGAGTTAAATACCAACGCACAAGATCAAATGATGAATAACGACAAGCTGATAAATCTTCTGCTAAACTTTTAATAGTTGCTGTAATTGGATCTATCAAAGGAATGTTCGTGTAACCTGTACAAGAATGAAATGATTTCGAAGAATTTATTGATATGTGTATATTATCTAGATGATATGCAAAAGAAAGTTTTTCTTTTTTTTATTTTGAATATTTATTTTTATTCTCATCTTACTTTGAATGGCCTTGCTTTTTGTAATTATCAATAAGAATGAACTGATGACGTTGAATACAAAAGTTAAATCAGCTGACATTTTCACATAATACATTTATTTTTATTTATTTGTTTTTTTCTTTTGCTCTAGTGTAACAATTCTTATTCATATTTATCATCGTACACGTGATCAACGTATTTTTTATTTAATCATTCTCTTACTGATAGAGATATGCACACTAATACTTAACACAAGTGTTCGCATACTAAAACTAATTTTGAACTAAACAATCTACGATCTAAATTAATTCAACAGTTAAGTGAAAAGTAATATAATCTATATTGTC